TTAGTCTGTATTCGCAAAAAGAAAAGGAGTACTTGTGGCACCTTAATCTGATGAAGTGATCTGTAGCTCACCAAAGCTTACGCTCAAATAAATTTGTTAGTCTCTAAGGTGCCACAAGTCCTCATTTTCTCTTAGCTTTACAGTATCATTTCCAGCAAAGGTCTGCATGAGGACAGTGCGTTGCATTGGCTTTTTTCTTTTTACTATGATTTCTGGTGTAACTGTAGAATATTGTACACAAACACTTCTTTAGTCCTTTTCTCTCTTTAGATTTTCCCTCCCAGAGGGCTAGTCTATTTGCCTTATCTCTTACAGGTTTGCTTCAGACATGCCAAACAGTGTCCTAAATTGGAGAAAGCCTTAGAACCACAGGAGTTAGAGATGGAAAATCCCTCAACGTAAGATCGGTTAGCCCACACACACCATCAACCAATGCAGAATTGTGCCTAGATACACTAGCGTTATGCTCAATCTCATTTTAATTGTCCCAAGCAATAGGGCTTTCAGAGTGACTATTCTACAGCGTAACAGATTTCATAGCCAAAAGACTTTTAATGGTACTCATCCTACATTTTATTTTGCTTAATTTCAGTCCCTTATACCATTACTCCTAATTATACACCCTTGTGCCTCCCTAAATAGTCTTCCTTTCTCCTTGGTGTTTTACACCTCAGATAGTTGTAGACTCTTATCTTGTCCCCCTAGCACACCTTGGCACATTTAGATCTTAGGTCTTTACTCATTGGGCAGAGTCTCCAAAACCTTGATAATTTTTGTTGCTGTTCTATGAGCAACCCCATGCTTTCTGATAATGGGGTGCCTAGAATTGAATGCAGTGTTTCAGATCTGTTTGCACCAGGCTATACAGGCTATACAGAAAGGCACCATTATCTCTGGTTTCAGAGTAGCAGCCGTGTTAGTCTGTATCCACAAAAGGAAAAGGAGTACTTGTGACACCTTCGAGACTAACACATTTATTAGAGCATAAGCTTTCGTGAGCTACAGCTCACTTCATCGGATGCATTCAGTGGAAAATATAGTGGGGAGATTTTATATACACAGAGAACATGAAACAATGGGTGTTACCATACAGACTAACATGGCTGTTACTCTGAAACCTACCATACAGACTGTAACAAGAGTGATCAGGAAAGGTGAGCTATTACCAGCAGGAGAGCTCCACTCCCAGTCATTACACAAAGTAAAACTATTTCCCCTTGTTTATTTCTCCTCCTACTGTTCTTGTAAACTGCTGGAAATGGCCCACCTTGATTATCACTACTAAAGGTCCCCCCCCACCTCCCCCTCTCCTGCTGGTAATAGCTCACCTTTCCTGATCACTCTTGTTACAGATTGTATGGTAACACCCATTGTTTCATGTTCTCTGTGTATATAAAATCTCCCCACTGTATTTTCCACTGTATGCATCCAATGAAGTGAGCTGTAGCTCATGAAAGCTTATGCTCTAATAAATTTGTTAGTCTCTAAGGTGCCACAAGTACCATTATCTCTGTCTCTGTGACTTATGCAGCTCAAAATTGCATAGGTCTTTTTGCTGTCATCTCACATCAGAATCATGTCTAATGCCCTGTCCACTCTCCAGCTACTTTAGGTTGTGTTCAGCATTACCACTTCTCAGAATCCTCCCTCCCCCTGAATATCTGTGATTCAGAGAATCTGTAATACAGCCACACTTTTCCATGTGGAATCACATTTTGTTTCCTGAATCACATTTTGTACTAGAGTTTTGACTTGCCAAGCTAACAGGATAATGCTCTTTGCATGCACAAACACAGTCAGCCCTTTCAGAGGGCTCTTAGGAGTTGAACACCACTTCTCCCTTTTGCCAGAAATCACCTTTAAGCAGCAGTAAGTATTGTTACATATATCTAAGAGGTGAGTAACTGAGGCATAAAGTGGTGATATGATTTGCACAAGGTCACACAGCAAATCAGTGTCTGAGCCAGGAACAATATTCAGAATTCCTGACTCCTTATTCATGCTCTCTAGCTATTAGCTCTGTAGGCAGAGCGACAGTGTGGTCTAACTTCTGGGAAGCGTGTGATACAGAAAACAGGTAGGATCAAATATCCATGATAAAGTTACACAGTGTGCTGCATCCACATGGATTCAATCTTTCACCCGACTGAAAATATAAAATATATTATAAGCCAAACCAATAAAAGGTCATGTTTTTTAGTGACACCTCTTGTGGTTTTGCCCTCTTTAGAACAGCATGTGTGAGAGCAGGACATCTGAGTGGGAGAGGGCTGCAGTCCTATAGCAATCTCACTGTGGGGAGGATGTGTGGTAAAAAAACCCCAAGCTAAAATTTCTGCAGCAATTTCGTGCATAGCTGTTCAATATGTAAATGGCTGTGATAACATCTTTGGTGATGCTGATTTGCAGTGTTCTTCAATTCTTTTAATGATGCTTTAATCGGACCCTATAGGGAGTAAACTCCTCTGTCCCACAGTCTGTTTGTACTATGCTGTTTGATCAGGTGCTAAGTATTGTCGTTTTTTAGATGATTGCTTTTCTGAGTGGTGTAAGGAGTTTCCATCAGGATCAATCTTCCTGTACTTTTTCATGACTAGAAGAAAAGGAGTACTAGTGGCACCTTAGAGACTAACCAATTTATTTGTCTCTAAGATGCCACAAGTACTCCTTTTCTTTTTGTGAATACAGACTAACACGGCTGCTACTCTGAAATTTTTCATGACTGAAAGGCAAAATGAAGCTGCTAAAATCACCTTCCTTGCCCGTTAATCTGACCACAGCACCTTGCTCTTTGAATCCTTCCACTGGCTCTCCCTGACACCCTATTAAGTGTACATTTCCTGTCCTCCCCTTCAAGGTCCTTCACATCTCTAACCCTCCCTTCTTGTCTCATTTCACATGGCCATCTCACTGCCTTTACTCCACTAACAAAGTTAGGCAGCCGGGACTGGATTAAGTCAATTGCGGGTCCCAAGCACACCATGACAAAGGGGTCCCTTTTGGCCCCACCCCTGACTTGTAATGGAAGTCATAGGGTGCCCTCCCACCTTTCCTGGAGAGGCCTGGACAGCAGTAATGGGGCCCTTTTCCTCCCCAGGAGTGGCAGCAGGGACTCTCTTCGACCCCCTCTCCTCCAGAGAGGCAGAGCTGGCAGCAGAGGGTGTCCTCAGTCCTTAACACAGTGTATCTGCTTTGGTGGGTGGAGTAGGATCACCTCACTTTTCTCCTCCTGACACACACAGTGTCCCCTGCTGGGATGGGGTTGGCAGGAACTCCCTTGAGAAGTGGATCTTGGAGTTAGCACCCCATTGAAATTTACTACACTCCCCTCCTTCAAATCCCTCAGAACCCATTTCTGCCATGACAACTGATAGGAAATTCATTAATTTTGGCTTGGTTAAAGGGCAGATGAGGAATAAGTGACATTTTATCTACTTGGAATAGTTAACAAGTATACTGATATATAAAAACTGTATCTTTGTATGTCACATGTTTTTTTCGGGCAGGAACACAGGGGAACATGTCCTTTGTTCAGCCTGATTGGAACTTTTAGGCACTTATTCAGTAGTAATACATCCTGTTTATATAGCCTATGGCAGCGTTTCTCAAACTGGGGTTCATGAAGGTACTCCAGGTGGTCCATAGGCCCCACTGATCAACTCCTCCCCCTCCTTGGCATGCAGGAGGCACTGGGAGGGTGAGGGAGGAGGGGGTGGAAAGAGGTGGGGAAGAGGAGGGGCAGGAGTGGAGCAGGTCGGGAAGGGGTGGGGTGGGGCCTTGGGGGAAGGGGTAGAGTCAGGGTGGGGCCTGGGACTGAGTGGGGAACTTGGGGGTCCACACATTTTAAAAAAAATCAAAATGGAGGTCCTCGGGTTGCTAAAGTTTGAGAATGCGAGCCTATAGAATAACAGTGAGGCTCCTTAGAGGGAAAAATACAGCTACATGATTTTAGCTGTACACTCTGATTTGTCTCTAAGGTACAGAAATGTGGGTTACATTAATTTGTTACACATATTTAGCACCACTTATTTAAAGATCTTGATGGGCATTAAGTTAGACTCACAACACTCCTGTGAGAGAGGCATTAATTATACCTTTTTATAGGTAAAACCGAGGCATAGAGCTATTATGACAGTTTAAGGGGGAGGGACAGCTCAGTGGTTTAAGCATTGGCCTGCTAAACCCAGGGTTGTAAATTCAATCCTTGAGGGGGCCATTTGGGATCTGGGGCAAAAATTGGGGATTGGTCCTGCTTTGAGCAGGGGGTTGGACTAGATGCCCTCCTGAGGTCCCTTCCAACCTTGGTATTCTATGATTCTAAGTAGCAGCCGTGTTAGTCTGTATTTGCAAAAAGAAAAGGAGTACTTGTGGCACCTTAGAGACTAATGCATCCGATGAAGTGAGCTGTAGCTCAGGAAAGCTTATGCTCAAATGAATTTAGGTTTCAGAGTAGCAGCTGTGTTAGTCTGTATTCGCAAAAAGGAAAGGAGGACTTGTGGCACCTTAGAGACCAACACATTTATTTGAGCACAAGCTTTGTTAGTCTCTGAGGTGCCACAAGTACTCCTTTTCATAGAGCTATTAGAAGCCCATTCCTGAAGTCAATGGCCCCAAGGATGCAGGTGGCATGGACATTTGTGCACTGGGCCCCTGCTAGCTTAGCCCATTGCAGGCTCAGGGCTCAGGTCAGCTGCACAGTTGTGAAGAGAAGGCACTAAAGGCAGTAGTCCCAACATCCAGCCCTGTGTGTTGGTCACAAGTGTGCAGCTCAGGTACACAGCTTAGTTAACAGAAGCAGAACTCTCCTAATGTGTTAGCAAGAAAGGGAGGCGTTGTGCATGTGATTTTGTTTGTTTGTTTGACAAACTTTGGGCTTGGTCCTGCACACACGTAAGCACCCGAGGCACCTGAATCGCCTGGGTGGCTCCACCGAACCCCGGGGGACTGTTTCTGTGCGGAAAAGCGACTCCTGCGTGTGTTTGCAGGGTCGGGGGTCTGTGGCTTTTCGGAGGCGCTGCAGGACTCCGGCTGCTGCACGTGAGCAGCGTTTCAGCGGCGCCCTGCCCAGGACCGACTGAGGAGCACTACCGCTACGCAGAACAAACTGCGGGGAAACCGGCCGCCACCAGAAAACCGCAGAGAAAGCTGGAAAACAACCCAACCCACCTATCGCGCGCTGGCTTTCCATTTCTGAGGCTGTCCAGCTGAGCAAGTCCCAGAGGAGCCGCAGTGGCTCCATCTCTCACTCCGTAATTAGTGTCCCCGGCGAATTCCTGCTCGCCTTCCCCCTGGGTGTGCTCGCCATTTGGGCTCAGACCCTGCCAGGCTCTCAAAAGCGGACTCCGCGGAAAGCTGGGAGAGAAGCGCTATTTTTGAAGTGAAATTCGTTGTTCTGTTGAAAGCATCCAAGATCTGATCATATTAAGGAACCGCCTCCTGCCCCCCTCTTAAAGTCACCAAGCCATAATATTTTGCCTTTCAGTTTCCCCCTCGCGGCGTGCTCTGCTTATCTAAACTCCCACCGGAGGCTGGATGCGATTTCAGCACATTGCTGCCAATTAAATGCCGCATTTCAAAACTGTTTGTATTTAGCAACACAAAGTCAGTGACCAGCTCCTTGGCAGGCCAGGCAGGCGCTGTTGAGGGTGGGCTTTAACTGTGCAGACTCAGACATCCCGTGCACGGTGCCCCTCATTCAAATCTTTGGTTCCCTCCCTCCCCTTCAAGTTTCCTCTGATCGGCTTTGTTACACTTGAATGTCTAGCATTAGCTGTGCCGGAGGCAGAGGTGCTCCAGCAGGAAGAGGCATGTGAAACTGTTGCATCTTTTTCTCTCTCTTCTTTTTCTTTCAAGGCCAAAGAACTTAAACTTCCTGAAATAGTTGAATAGAAGCTGAGCGGACTTTTCTTCTTTCCCCAGGAGCTGGAAACTGACTAACAGTTCAAGCAAGGCTCCAAAGCAGAGAGAGAGCAGCGGCACACTTCCTCCAGGGGACTCCCTGGACTTTCCCCTCTCCCCCATTTGTCTCTCCTGGGAGGAGCCAGCAAAAGGCACATTGTAAAAATAAAAACTGGACCGGAGCCGGCAAGTTGTAAAATTCTAAGTGGTATTGGCCAGATCGCGGCGGATAAAATAGAAACTCCTTCACTCCCTGATGTGAAAAGTCTCAGGAGAGAGCTGAAACATTTCTAGCAGCGGTCATCTCTTATTTCCTTCTCCAAAAGCCGCGATGCAGCCCTAACTTAACATAAAAAGGGGGTGAGTGTAAAATACACTTTCATTTTTGTCTTTACACTGGCAATCTAAGGTGGTGGGGGAATGCATTGTAATTTAGCGTAATGCAAAGAGAGGAGGGGAGATCTCTGAGGAGCTACAGCAGCAAATGGCAATCGTGGATTTCGGATCACAGTGTCAGCGTTTGTCTTGCTTGAACAGGAGATAATCGCAAGGTTTCAGAGTAACAGCCCTGTTAGTCTGTATTCGCAAAAAGAAAAGGAGTGCTTGTGGCACCTTAGAGACTAACCAATTTATTTGAGCATGAGCTTTCTTGAGCTACAGCTCACTTCATCTGATGCATACCGTGGAAACTGCAGCAGACTTTATATATACACAGAGAATATGAGTATATAATATGAGTGGTCAGTTTGATGAGCTATTACCAACAGGAGAGTGAGTTTGTGTGTGTATGGGGGTGGGGAGGATGTGAGAAAACCTGGATTTGTGCAGGAAATAGCCCGACTTGATTATGTAAAGAGTTGTCACTTTGGATGGGCTAGCACCAGCAGGAGAGTGAATTTGTGTGGGGGGGTGGAGGGTGAGAAAACCTGGATTTGTGCTGGAAATGGCCCACCTGATGATCACTTTAGATAAGCTATTACCAGCAGGACAGGGGTGGGAGGAGGTATTGTTTCATATTCTCTGTGTATATATAAAGTCTGCTGCAGTTTCCACGGTATGCATCCGATGAAGTGAGCTGTAGCTCACGAAAGCTCATGCTCAAATAAATTGGTTAGTCTCTAAGGTGCCACAAGTACTCCTTTTCTAATCGCAAGGTTGTTGCCGTTAAAACGGTCTCTGGTGTGTTAACAAGATGTTTATCTTGAGAGAGTTTGCAGAAGAGAAGTTTGGGTTGTGTCTGACCTGCTATAAGAGCCATGTGCTTTATATTTTAGGCTGACACTTTCAGCTCGTTGGGTTGTTTTTGTCCATTTGTTAATGATTACTGAGGCATGGGATGCACTGACAGCGAGAGCCTGCTTGATTCAAAACAAAACAAAAAATGAGCAAGGTTTCCATTAACATAAACAAATAAAAATAGAATCTCCGGGCTTTTGATGTCTTTGAAGAGTGAGTCATCTTGAAAACAAAATGCCTCACTCTATCCCTTCCCCTCAGGAGATACAGTAATTCTGAAATTGGGGGTGGGAAAAAGAAATTTTTCTCTGGCTTTTTCGGTTTGCTAAATGAATTTAATTATAATGTAGCCTGTTTCAAAGAGACTGCAGCCATGTAACTGGCAGAAAGCCTGATTATCACTACAAAAGTTGTTTGTTTTTTTCTGCTGCTGGTAATAGCTCACCTTAACTGATTAGCTTGTTATAGTTGGTATGGCAACATCCATTTTTTCATGTTCTCTGTGTGTGTGTGTATATATGTATATATGTGTGTGTGTATATATATGTGTGTGTGTATGTATATATATAAAATCTTCCTACTGTATTTTCCACTGCATGCATCCGATGAAGTGGGTTTTAGCCCACGAAAGCTTATGCTCAAATACATTTGTTAGTCTCTAAGGTGCCACAAGTCCTCCTTTTCTTTTTGTCCTAAAAGGCAGAGAAGAGAGATCCATCCTCTTTAACACCCCCTCCCTCCCATCTTTTCTCAGTGCTTGTGTGAAGTTCATTTGTCTGGCTGTTTTGTGAATGAAAGTGGAACCTTTCTTCTTCCCTAATAATTGCTCAGGGTCTCTGTGCACTGGGAAATTTTTGTAACTGGCTGTTTTTAATAGACAAAATGTTAATATTTTCACCAGAGTTCCTATTAGTGGAAAGAATCCCAACACCCTTCTTTCCCCAGTTCTCTGAAATGTCCCAGCACTTGCAACTCTTGTCACTTGCCTGGGCTGGGCAGAAATGTAAATGTACATAATGCAGGTTTTGGGGGTGATGCAGTTTATAACTGCCTATACTTTTTATTATTTATTTATTTTTGCTGGCCTTCTAATCATATGAGCCCTGTCCCTCGATTTTGTGCATTTTTGTTTGTCAGCCACAAATTCTGAGCATAGTTGTAGACAACACTATAATTCTGTGGTATGAAAGGTTTCAGTTATGCTGAACTCACCAGTGTCTGTGGTTCAACACATAATATCTGTTTACAGTGTGTGTGTGTATGTTTAGAGTATATAGACAGTTATGACTTCAGCTAGGTTGCATAAATTCAGCACAGAAATTGATCCATAATCTTTCTTTTCCTATCATAGAAGCCACAGAGAAACTTTATCATAGGCCACAGTGGTATAAACTACTTCTTGGTTAGTTTCATGTCTTCATTGTTCTAATATTTATTCAAGATTTTCCCTAAAAATCCCCAGACATTCTAATAGCTTTACAAATATAAGTCAAATTCTGCTCTCTTTACCCATGTGAGTAACTTCATTAGCCTTGTCTATGTACAAAAATGACCTGTGACTGACAATGTGTGTGAGCAGTCGGTGCAGCGCTGAACATAATCTGTCCTGGTCTGCAGTTGCAGTTAAACCATTTCAACACCAATTCAGCTGTACCTGTCATCAGTAGTGGGAAACTTCTCATAATACAGACAGTAAAAAGAAAAGGAGTACTTGTGATCACCTGATGAAGTGAGCTGTAGCTCACGAAAGCTCATGCTCAAATAAATTGGTTAGTCTCTAAGGTGCCACAAGTACTCCTTTTCTTTTTGCGAATACAGACTAACACGACTGTTACTCTGAATACAGACAGTGTTACTGACTTCTATGTGAGCAGAATTTGTTCCACAACATGTCAGTGCAGCCATCTCTGGGGTGGAATGCACCAATCATTTAAAGGAGTACACAAGAACAATAGGCCATTGAAATTGTTTGGGACTGTCAGGAAGAAATACTTTTATCCAAGTGTTTTGGCAGGGGGAATTTAGTTAAGCAGAATGCATTTACCTGTGCTGGAATTTCCCCAGGACAAGGTGGTTAAACCTTCCTTAAACCTTCTATGTCACCTGAAAAGTGACATGGGCTCAGTTTTGAAAACCTCATTAATTTATTTCTCTCTTCCCCAAACCATTGAGTTTTTCTAGTGCCTTGATTTTGTGTATTAAAGCCCCCTTTTGGGGTAGTGTTGGCGGCAGGTTTTAGGGGCTGGATCTCTTTTTCATCTCTTCTTCCATCCCAGACTTTTCTTTCGTCCTACCTCTTTTGGATGAGCCATGTGCTTGTCTTTACTTATTGCATCTGCCATTTAAAATCAGAAGGAATAGCTTGGCCTTCTTAAAATTAGTGTGCTGGGGCTAGGGAAATCTTACCCATTTCCTGTCCTGACTACTGTAAATGAGGATTCCAGGTGAAGTTTTTATAGGCTCATTTGTATGAGACTATTAAAATGCTTGTGTGGTGAAACATATTTTTCAGATGTTAATATAGTTTTACTGTTCCTTTTTATTAGGAGGGAACTATGTAAAATGTCAAATGTTTGGGTTTTCCCCGTAACAAACAAGCATATATTTTCCCTGTTTTATTACCCTCACCACAATGTTATCCTGGATGTCTGGAGCAAAGTATATCTTGGACAATAACTGTAAGGATCCCGGTAATAAATATTTAACAAATCCCTGGTCACTTACAATTTCATGGTTGGTTTCAGAGTAGCAGCCGTGTTAGTCTGTATTCGCAAAAAGAAAAGGAGTACTTGTGGCACCTTAGAGACTAACAAATTTATTTGAGCATAAGCTTTCGTGAGCTACAGCTCACTTCATCGGATGCATTCCTGGTTGTCGCAATGTTGCTCCCCCTGGCTGCTTGGAACCTCAATAACAGCAGGGATAGAACTATGATCTTCTGCTTTGTGAGCACAGGACCCTATTATGTGAACTAAAGGGAAATCTCCATTAGCTGTCGCAGTGTAGGGCAACAGGGCACACAGTTCCATGATTTTAATTCATTTCCATTAGAGTCCAGTGGTATGTGCAGCCACATGCCAGCTCTTCCATTATACATCGTATGGTATGTACATTTGAGGATCTAAAATATGGCAGTAGATTTTGAGATGGAAATAGAGATTTAATTAGATCTTTATTTCTTTTAATCCAGTAAGGAAGAATATCTAAAAGCACTTTTATTCATAGTGTTTGGGCTCAGTTTCCCTGATTAACACCATTCATAAATTCTAAGACCATTATTATCTAGTCTGACCTCTTGCATAATGCAAGCCATAGAACCTCACCCAGTAATTCCTGCATCAAACCCATAGCTTCTGATTGAGCTGTAGCACGACTCTTAGAAAGGTATTCATAATTTCTTCTCCCAGTGAATGTGTCTAAGAACATAAGAGTGGCCATACTGGGTCAGACCAAAGGTCCACCCAGGCCAGTATCCTGTCTGCCGACAGTGGCCAATGCCAGGTGCCCCAGAAGGAGTGAGCCTAACAGGTAATGATCAAGTGATCTCTCTCCTGCCATCCATCGCCACCCTCTGACAAACAGAGGCTAGGGACACCATTCCTTACCCATCCTGCCCAATAGCCATTAATGGACTTAACCTCCATGAATTTATCTAGTTCTCTTTTAAACCCTGTTATAGTCCAAGCCTTAACAACCTCCTCAGGCAAGGAGTTCCACAGGTTGACTGTGCACTGTGTGAAGAAGTCTAGGGTACTATATTTTATATGAAGAAGATCAATCAGGTTCTCCCATTTACTTTCTCATAATACAAGAAAAAGGGGACTTCAGACGTAATGCTTTTTTGTTACACAACCCATAATTAACATGTGTCACTCACTGCCACAGGATGTCATTGCTGCCAAGATTTTAGTAGGATTGAAAAAGGGACTAGATGTGTATATAGCTAGGCAATGATGCGTTTGCGGTATGTTCAGGTTACAAGCCAATCACTAATTGATGGGGTTAGGAAGAAACTTCCCCAGAGGCAGATTATTCCATAATTGTACAGTGTGGGAGTTTCTGGCACCTTTGTTTGAAGTGGCTGGTTCTGGCCACTGTCAGAGACAAGACACTCAGCTAGATGG